CTGATACATTGTATGTGTGCTGTTTTCCCCTCCAATTCTGATACATTGTATGTGTGCTGTTTTCCCCTCCAATTCTGATACATTGTATGTGTGCTGTTTTCCCCTCCAATTCTGATACATTCTATGTGTGATGTACTGTAGACTTACGTATTCTATGTGTGATGTACTATCTCTCCCCAGATCCAGCTCCGGTCCTCCCACCTGGACCTCCCCCGCCGTGCCCGCTGTGAGGACAACCAGGTGACTCTGTATGAGCGGACCACCCTGGATTCTGACGTCAGACAGCGCTACTGCAAGGCCCAGCGCCTGGATGTGACGTCAGACAGTAACCGGGTGTTTGTGCGTCTGTTCAGCAGCAGCCCCGCCAACAAGCCGGACATCAAACTGGTCTACTCTCTGGTCAGACGAGGTCAGTGGCTTTCTCTTGTTTCCTTAATGTGAGGGACAGTAGGACAGTAGTTGAACGCCCCTATCAACACTAGAAAGTGATTCAAGAGGCGGGACCTCCGAATTCAACGCACATCTCCTTTTGTTTGAATAAGGTTTTACGGGGTTTGCAACTGCATAAGGTCATATGAGCACCAAGGGGTGGAAGTCAACAGAGAAGTCCAAACGGGGAATCAGGCTTACTCTGCTCACCTCTCTTGCCTCAACAGCACAAAGTCTGCTTCTACCATCAAGGCCCCCCGGAAATAGCAGTTCACAAGAGAGTGACAAACATACAAAAGAAGTAGAGGGAAAATGACGATAGTAAAAATGAGGAAAGAAAAAGCAAGAGTTCCCCATATGTTGTTCCGGCACAGTATGATCATGATTTTGATTATTCAGTCCATCTACAATAAAAATTGCTGCTGTGTATTTGAACACGTTAATATCCTCCCCTTTGGGAATGGTCTAAAGACAACTTCAGTCAGTAGCACTGCCCTGGAGGGGGGGGGGGCATTTATCTCTGAAAGGACCGAGCCTAATAGGAATATTGTGTAAAGTGCCTTTCCAAAGGACACAACGTTGGACCGAGCTGAGGCTCGAACCCCGTACCCCCAATCTCCGGTGCGAGTCCGGTAGCATGGCCGCTCGGCCACCGAGACGCCACGAGACAATGATGGAGCATCGATAGCTGAAGGTTTTAGTAGGTTATTCCACACAGTACACGGGAAGTGGTTCACTTACCCAAGAAGTATAATATACTTAAGTATAATATTATTACGACATCAGTATAATATACTTAAGTATAATATTATTACAACATCAGTATAATATACTTAAGTATAATATTATTACGACATCAGTATAATATACTTAAGTATAATATTATTACAACATCAGTATAATATACTTAAGTATAATATTATTACGACATCAGTATAATATACTTAAGTATAATATTATTACGACAGCAGGTTTGATTCTAACAGTTTCTATTGTTGTTGACTTCTCTGGGGTAATCCGATTTTTTCAACTCTTCACCAATTTTTGGCTTTTTTTTATCTTCAAGCTTACAATATGATGATGATGATGACTTTACTACATTACTAACTCTCAACTGCGATGTATCCCCCCTTC